TTCCAGCCTTGCATTCTTGCCTGGAGAAAGGAGAATGTAAACAGAGAAAGGAAACTACAATTGCACTTTTCAGTTAAAAGCACAGGAATGTAAAAGAAACACCGGGGTTTTCTTGCTTTGGGGATTTTTGTGTTCTACGTTGTTGTTTTTAATCTTTCAGGCTTGTGGGTCATTCTTCCTGGAACTCTTTAAACAATTGAGAAAGTAAATGTCTTCAAAACAGGTGGGCAAAAAGTTCTGAGATGCAAAATGTTCAGGGAGCATGCCCGAGAGAAGCTTTTCTTGGCCCCTCAGATGAAAAAGCTGCCTGCAATCCCATTGGCTGCGGCACCTTGATCTGAAAACTTCGTGCACTCACCTCAATTTTCCAGATGTTTAGGTTAGAGAGCAGATCCCAACAGAAATTGCCATTCTTATCCACGCCGCTGAACCCAAAGCCAGCTGCATTGTTCACTGCGTCCGCTAAAGTTTGTAAAACAAGACGTTAAGGATCAAAAGTCATATTGCTGTTTTAAAAGGCACTAATCACCTGACTTCCAGTGCAAGAGATGCGCTGCTGTTTCCTTTAAAAAGAAACCAAATGATAACAGTCATTTCCAGGGCCTGGTAAGAGGGACATAGTTGGCAGGTGGGTGACATTCATTCACCCACCAGCATTTACTGAGTAAAAGGGCACACTCATGGAATGTGAAAACGCGAGTGCAAAAGAGAAGCAAAGAATCAAAAAGAAAATACGGCCGAGAAGACTGTAGGGACCAGCTTGATATGAGACGTTGGGAGGACAGGGAGAAGAGAAGAAGGCAAAAACATACCTCTGCTCAGAAAGAGAAACAAGAAAAGAGGGACCTAGCAGAAATCCCTAAGCTGTCACTGAGATTGGAACCACATTAATCAACGGAGCCCATGAGCTCAGAGGGAGACCCGGGGCTGCAGGAGAGCCCTCTGCAGACAGATGCAAGCAGACCCTGCTAGCAGGGTATCAAATGCAGCTGCCAAGATGCAGTTAGCAAAAGAGCTGAAAACCCTTTGGGGATTTCAAGAGCGAGAGCTGTGAGTTTGGGACCTGCAGCAAGAGGCCATACAGGCAAGAACTACTGAAAAATCATCTGCTCCGGCTATTCCCCTGTGATGGTTAGTCTATGTCTACCAGATAACTCTGGGTGAAGGTCGGGGTGGAGCCCAGCCCATCAGCCTTATGACCCGTCCACTGGTGTAAGAGAGACCCTGAGAGGGCTGAGCCTCTGTGCTCCTTCTGCTGAATCTGGGCCTGCATCTGGTTCTTGATCTCCTGCTGTCACCTGCCAACCCTGGGTGCCAGCCGCAAATGATCAACCTTGGATTCATTCGGCCAGTCGAGGATACATTTACCTCTGCCACCACCAGTCTAAGGCCCTCCCACTTGGTCATCCTGCTTCCTGTTTGTCAACTTCCACGGCGACACCAATCAGGAGCTTACAGTTGACTTCAGTTTACATCTGACATGTGGACTCAAACCGGACTGGACTTACCAACTTCTACAACTGCGTAAGTCATTTCTGGATATAAATAAATCTCTCTCTAGCTATCTATATGTATGTGTGTGTGTGTAGGTATACACACACACACACACATATATACATTTATATATATGTATGTTCTCACGGTTTATGTGTGTGTGTGCATATAGATATTCTCACAGGCTTTGTGTACACATATGTGTGCATGTATACATGCATATGCACACACACACACAAATATATCACTGATTTTGCTTCTCTAGAGAACCCATCCCAAACCCCTCCCCGTGCAGTCAATCTAAAAGCACCTGCTATTTTGCTTCACTAAGCACTCAGAGAAAGTACTTCTAAACAAAATGTTTCATGTCTAATCAATCTCATAATGAGATTTTTTTGTAGTCAAATACAGACATGAGGAGCTCTTTATTTTTATTATAACGACCAAGAGATACTCTCTTCCTATTTGCTCCACTTCAAGTTCCTTCTGCAAGATTTAACTTCAAAAGCAAATACAAATGAATGGAGCCATCAAGCCATTGAAACGCATTGTCATCTAGTTGATTCCAGCTCACGGTGACCCTCTAGGACAGCGGTTCTCAACCTGTGGGTCACAACCCCTTTGGAGATCGAACGACCCTTTCACATGGGTCGCCCAATT